CAGATCCTCTAAAGAATAGCTTGAAGGTACAGAAGCTATAAACTCAAATCCACTTGCTACTTCTCAAGATAAAGCAGGGCAGGAAGCCAAGAATGTGGCTCTCTCCAATTCTCCCAATCTTCAGATGAGAAAACTAAGGCCAGAGAACAAATCAGCTTCTCCAAGACACTAAAGACAGAAAAATCTACTGGTTGCCAAACTGAGGTGACCTAAGCCAGGGCCATGGATTTGAGACCTTTCTGGTTACAGATACATTTTCGCTCATTTGTTTAAGCTTTAGTTAAAAACTCAAACTGAAAGGTTTACACACAATTTGTTGACTGGCTTCTTCGCAAAATCTTGTGTATCTGTCAACTATGGATACAAATTTTTGTTCATTGTTTAGAGCTGAGAAAAATAAATGGGAACAAGGTACTTAGCGATCACAGTACTATGGACAACCTGTTGCCACAGGCCCTCAAGACCTAGAAATTTGTTATTCTTTCTCTACATCATACTCAGCTAAGGATAAAAAAAAAAACATATATAAGGTATTATTAGATCTCATATACAGTCATCCTTTAGCTTCTTTGGGAGTGGTCTCTAGGATAGCTTTAGAATACAGAATCTCTGAACTTCCATATCCCTTATATAAAATGGCACAATCTCTGGGTATAATCTATGCACATCCTTCTGCATCCTTTAAATCATCTTTAGTTGGTTTACAAGAAGACAATGTCTAAGTGGCATATAAATATTTGTTACAATGAATTGTTTCAGAGGGAAATGACAAGACAATGAGTCTGCCAATGTTCAGGAGCAGATGCAACATCTCCCATCTGTGGTTGGTTAAATCCATGAATATGGAGCCACAGATACAGAGGTCCATATGTAATGTCTGTATTTGTTGGAGTAAAAACATGCATGTGACATATAACACAAATGGTACATTTGTATGTATGTGTGTGTGTGTGCACGTTCATGTGTTGCATAAAAGTTGGTTTTTAAGCCTGAAGGTGTATTTTAAAACCTAAAGAATATTTTAATAATGTCCTTAAAGACCAAGACTTGACAGCCTTCAGGAAAGGGAATGTGAGCTAGCAAGAGACCTTCCATGAGCAAAGTAAGCAGAAAGCCAGCACTCAGCACAAGTAAGCTGGCTAGGAAGGTTTGCTGGTTCCCCAGCGCAAAGAGATTTACGAAGGGTAGTGAACCCACTGGACACACAGACCTGGTTCTGGTTTCAAAGTTCACACCCTGCTCCAAAGCATTTACCCAGCAGCCAGAAGGGTCATTTTCTCCACTGTTCTTGGAAAAGCCATCTCCTGTTTCCTTCCCCTGATCTCCAGTGCCTGCCTGTTCTGTCACTCATTCCACACAGGGCTCTCCACTCCCCAACTGCAGCCACATCTGTCTGCTTCCAAGTCTGGAATTCTGTGCTCTCCTGCCCAAGGAGCATTTCCCTTGTGACCTCCTCCCCATTCTTCTAGAGCTACAAATAACAGCCATCCATCTTTCATGTTCTGGCCACACCATCTAAAGTGGTCTTCTTAGCTACTAGCCCATCGCCCTGTGATCATTTAATCCTCTCTCAATTTTCCTTGGTTAATTAATTTTGCATGTTTGGCTACCAAATGTCCCCCACTTTTAGTTGTAAGTTCCATGAGAATGGGGCTTCGCTGTCTTGTTCACAGCTCCTATCCCCATAAGAAAACCAGGTCCAAAAAGTACCTGGCACCTGTTTAGCAGCTAGAAAATAAAACGTGTGCCTCCTGTCTGAGAGGTACTGTAAATCACTGGAATGGGAGGAGAAATCTCTCCATTAGCAAGATTTCAGCCCCTGGTAAGAACTGGAAAGAGGGAAGACTATGCCTGTTCGGTCTCCAAGTCTTTCAGGGACTATAGTTGACAGTGCAGAGAGAATTAACTCAATGGTGAAATCTTTATACTACACCCACTTAAGCTTTAAAATGCTCCACTGAGTGATACCGCTTTCATTTCCAAGCCACTCACTCGGTTTCTGCTCATTTTCAGAATCAAGGCTGAATCTACGGACAGGCATTCAAGAAAAGTGCTTCAGTGACTTCAAACGAGGTGTTTGAGCAGGGCTGGGTGCACGTGGGCATGGAGTCCTGACTTCATTAGTAAAACATTGGTATAAAAGCGCTGCAAAACTCAAGAAGCTGCAAATAGAGCTTCTCCAATCCACGTGATGCTGGGAAGAGCGATTGTATGACACTTCGGAACTTCTGAGAGCTACCCAATGGCTCGTGAGCTTGAGAGTAACAGGGAATGTGGGTCAATTAAAGCTACTTGAAAATGGAGCCCTGTGGCTCTAGAACTCCTCTTTAGTAAAGCCCCAGCTGCAGGCCCACTGGTGCTTGACCATCCTCAGATCCTGTGGTCTAAGCACCAGAGCAAGTGGCATTTATACATGAAAACAACAACAATTGCCACAAAGTAGCAACACACTCCCACGTGTATGTACCCAGAGACAGCGGCAAAATACACAGCAGTCTCTGCTGCGCTGACTGCTGCACTGTCACCCACTGTAACAAGATTGATCTGTAGTGAAATAAAAGATAATGCAATCTAGAGGAAATAACTTCTGTTTCCTCGGAGAATGTCTGATGTTGTCAGCTGTTAGCCTGCTTCTCTCGCCTGCCTGCCACGATGCAAGGCAGCACAAACCTGCAGGCACTGTTGTGGGCAGACAGGTCTCCCCACTCACTGCCAGCAGCACACCTGGATGAGCAGCATCTCCCCTCTGCCTGCCAACTCCTTGGCCACGCCAGAGCAAGTAGAACCTGAATGCCAGGGTGTTTTCAGGAGGGCGGTGCCACAGCGAGCTGCCATTATGGACTTGGGATACAGAAAATGACCCAGGTAGCACTGAATCATCTGAAACCCAGAAAATGACCCAGGTAGCACTGAATCATCTGAAGCCCCCAAGTTTTCAGCTTGTTTATTTCTAACCTCATTCACCATGCTCCTAGTTTCAGGTCAATGGTAGAAGAATTCTGGTGATTTGGACCACAGAAGGTCTTGTGGAGATTTGTGTTATCAGATTCTGTCTATAAGACACAGGACATTGTGTCTTTGTCTTGCACAACCGTCACTTGACAGAACATTACACAGAGCGTTGTTTTCCCAGGCAGAATGGCCAGAAATGAAGGCAAGGAGAAGGTACCAAATGGGGAACCATTGGCCATCATTTCTGAAATGGGTCTCCATACAAAATGGGCCTCTCTAAGGTCAGGATATGTAAGTAATTCACCAAAGCAAGTTCAGTTCTCTCTATTCATACCCCTAGCAGTATCTTTTAGGGAGCTGCCACCCACCTTTGCACAGAGCCATGGGTAGCTATTGGCTTCCATCTCTGGCAGATGCTATTAAGTCTCAATAGCCGGTGATTTGTAGATGATTATAACTTTTGCTCTGAATATCATTGCTACTGACAGGCAAATCCCATCAATCAGATGGCAAGACCGATGAAAGAACAAGGCAGGCTTGACACAGGCAGCCACAGGCATTTTTTAATACTAATTATGGCCCCTAGGATGTTCGCTAGGTTGTCTAGAAAAGTCAGGCCTGATACAATAATGCTTCTCTTTTTAACCCTTCACCAGAAGCATCGGAACGCGTATTCTAGAAAGACTTTCCCAGTTCAAGTATGTTGTGTTTTGAGGAAACAAATGCAATTCGTCATCAGGTGTGGCTCGTATTTCAGTTCATGGGGGGAAAAATAGTCTCCTCTCAGAGTGGCTCACTGAACCCCCAATTTGTTGAGACAGAGAACTGGCTGGGGCAGCAGGGCCTGACAGCGGCACGCTTGTTACACCAACAGTCCCCGGCACCTTTTCAATTTTGCTCGTCTCTTAGTCTCTAGCCAAATGGAACTTATTACTTATAGCTTGTTGGGATGTATGAATTATTTATAAAACTAGGTCTATGACTCCAGACTTTTAAAAAGACCACACAACAGAGCTCTCATTGTTACCCACAACTGCATTTCTATCAGAGAGCAGATAGTCTCTGTAACAGGCGCGATACATGTGTGGGGTGAAATAGCAGTTATGAAAATATCAAGCCCGTAAGAGGATTTGGGAGTTATTTATGGAATGCCTGGGTATATTTTTAAACTGGTCTCTTTTATTCTAAGCCAACTTTAGGTTTCCAGGAAGATGCAGCCAATGTATGCTCTAAACGTATCTCCCAGCTTGAATACAGACAGTGAAGACCTGACATGTCTATCCAGCAGTTTTAAGCTAGCATGAAAAGGCAGTCTCCCCATCATATGTGTCAAGAAGGTTCCATGAAGCTGTGACCCCAAATTCAGATGGGGGGGGGGGTGAAGGGCAGGGGAACACATCTTCAGTGGGATCTAAAACCTGGACTGGAAGACACCATGTGGAATCAGACTTTGATTTCCAGCACTCCAAAACACATGCCCTTGGATGGGGAAACAAACGCCACTGCCTCTCCCTCCCATGGCCCTGATACACTCACAGATTCCACTGGACATGTTGTGAGACACACTTGCATTAAAAGGTACAGAGCAGCCAGCCATGGCCTCACCACATCTCCGTGACAGATATATATTTTTTTTCTCACCAAAGACATTTCCCCTGGTACTGTCACAGCCTTAACTGAGCAGCAGTTCACTTTGATATGGTGGCTGGGATGAACAGAGGGCTTGTACCTGAGCTCTCCAGAGATACCTGCTTCTCACCAGCCTCCCTGGTCTCCCAGGTCTCCCTGGTCCAGCATCCCTGCCCTCTACCTCGCACAGCCAAACACCTGATGCCTTTTGTCCCTGTTCCATCTGTCTATTTCCCCCACATATAACCTCTAGCCAGGGTTCAGAGGAAGAAGCGGAGGCCCAGGAAGTTTGACCACATTTAAGGCCATTGTCGTCATAGTATCCCCCTAAAGTCTATGCAACATTCCCAAAGAGGGCAAAGCCCCACAAGTCAAAGAACACAGCCAATAGAAGAGCAGCAGGAATCAGTAAGACTTACCTTGTTGGAAAACATCTGCCAGGAGTGTGGAACACCAGAGGAGAGAAGGGGGAGAGAAAGGGAAACACATCATTAGTGAGGATGAAAAGACAACATGATAACCAGCCAACATACATGGTCTTTGCAGTGCACTCTCTACACATAGTGCCCTTGAACTTGGGAGGCATGGTTGAACACTCAGGCTGTGGAAGGATACCAGCTGGGTCTGAATCCTGCCTTCACATTTGCAAACTCTGTGATGTCCGGTTCTCTAAACCACAGGCTAAGTGGGAGTCCTAGAGAGATTGAGCATTTTATCACACTTTTTAGGGCTCAGACTGTGCCTGGCACATAGAAAACAGAAAAACTGGTGAGTAGTCTTAATATTTCTACGTTCACCTTGAGACCTTATAAAATAGGCCGTATAATCATTCTTATTCTATAGACTGGGAAACTGAGTCACTAGAAAGCTAAATAAATCACCCAAGGGCACAGAGAAGAAAAAAGGAGCTCAGGATTGATATCAGGTCTGTCTGGTTCCAAAACCTATTTTCATACCCACTGCCTGATGGATTTATAAATAACCACAAATAACAACGGCATATAAGAGAACAGAAAAAGGACTTCTAAATATAGTTCTGTATTTAAATAATAGAAACAAAATGTGCATGCATTCTTTACATTTCAACTCATGATTAATAATTAAGTGTGTCCTCATAGTAAATCCTAGATCAAAGTCTGTTAGAAAGGTAGAAAATATGATTGCCTTTTTTCAAGAAATATTTGAGAGGTTAGTAGATGCCAATAGTTCTGTTTTTCACTAGTAACAAATAAATAGCGCAAAAACCATAGATAAGCAGTCAGTTACATGCCCCTAAGAGTAACCACTCGCATGACCTTTTATTGACACAGTAAAAAAACATGTTGCCTGTATTTGGATTTTGCACACATTGACTAATAGAACAGACGCCAAAATGGAACATATAGTCCCAAATCCATTTATCTACCTACGTGTGTGTACATGACTATATAAAGGGAGACTTGTGATGACACAATTATCTATCTACAGGAGGTGGAATTGGGGCTTTTAAAAATATTTTGTAAGATTTATGTATTATTTTAATTAGTAACAATGCCTTATATTTATAATCTGGATTAAGAAGTAGCTGTTTCACCACGTGCCAGCAGCTCAGTCTCATTGCCATAATCTTAGCTACTCGGGAAACTGCGATTGGAGAATCATGGTTTGAAGCCATCCTGGGCAGGAAAGTCTGTGAAACTCTTACCTCCAATTAACCACTAAAAAGCTGGAAGTGGAGATGTGGCTCAAGTGGTAGTGTGCTAGCTTGGAGAGAAAAAGCTAAAGGATAGCAAATGGGCCCTGAGTTCAAGCTCCAGTATGCGCACACACATACACCAAAGTTATTCCCATTTTACAAACTTAAGTATTCTATTATCAACATCTGATTTTGTTGTTAGTGGTCCCCTGAACCCCAACTCCCAAGGAAAACAATGAGCCAAGGGTCCATGAGTGGTGCAGAGGAAATATATACCAGTGTGCCACATTGCAAGAGGAAATCTGAATGCAGATTTCATACCACCTTTTCTCCCACACCCAAGTAAGACAGTGGCGATGCAAATGGGACACAGTAATACCACTACAGGACAACCGTGACCCTGCTTTAATTTATGAGGCTTCCACGAGTTCTACATCCACAGATTCAGCTACAGATTGAAAATATTTTGAAAATTACATATGAACCTGGCACAGTGACTCAAGGCAATAATTCTAATTGTTGGAAGGTGGAGATTAGGGGGAATCACAGTTTAAGAACGTTCTAGGCAAAGAAGATGAAAAAGATGAAGATGAAGACATAAGAAAGAGGGGGAGGAGAGGAGACAGAGAAGAAAGAAGCAGAAGCAGCAGCAGCAGCAGCAGCAGCAGCAGAAGCAGAAGAAGAAGAAGAAGAAGAAGAAGAAGAAGAAGAAGAAGAAGAAGAAGAAGAAGAAGAAGAAGAAGAAGAAGAAGAAGAAGAAGAAGAAGAAGAAGAAGAAGAAGAAGAAGAAGAAGAAGAAGAAGAAGAAGAAGAAGAAGAAGAAGAAGAAGAAGAAGAAGAAGAAGAAGTAGAAGAAGAAGAAGAAGAAGAAGAAGAAGAAGAACAACAACAACAACAACAACTTGGTTGTTGTTCACAAGACTCCATCTCTACCAGTGTCCAAGTGTGGTGGTGTGGTACACCTATTATCTCCAGCTAAGTGAAAAGCACAAATAGGAGGATCAGAACCTAGGCTGGCACAGGTATAAAACCTATGGCCCAGGTATAAAAAAAAATGGGGCCAGAGGCATGGCCCAAGTAGTAGACCATCTTTTTATCAAGATCAAGACCTTGAGATTAATCCTCAGGACCACTACCTCCCTCAAAAAATTGCATCAGCACTAAATATGTGAAGATTTCTTCTCTTGTCATTTTTCTCTAAGCAATATAGAATAACTTATTCACATAGCACTTACATTGCATTATGTATTACAAACTATGTAGATGTTATTTAAGGCATACAGAAAGATAAGCATACATTATATACCAATACTATGCCATTTGATAAATCAGCAGAGTTTGGAACCAATCACTCGTAGATACCAAAGGCCAACAGTACATGCTATACAATATAGCTTTGGTAATTCATCATTTGTACAAATTCTGACCCAGTAGTATGATAACACTCCTGAGATCAAGAGAAGGACAGTGGTCAGCTTTCTAAATAGAATAGTTTCACCAGTGTTTGCTTCCTGGACTCCGTAGTCAGAATTACCCATTGTCTGACCAGCCTACACATCTTCAAATATTGGTCACTGTGAAGTCTGTCTCCAGAGAGAGGGAATTTACTATTCCCACCTCTGTGCTCCTAGAGTAATTTGTGCAGGTTGAAATTGATCATTAGTTATCTATATGAATTGTGAGTTATTTATATCAATTAGTTATTTATATAGAGCCTTGGAACAAGAACAATGTGTCTTGATCACATCCTTGGATCCTCACACGCTTGGCATGGTTTACTACCCCTAAGGAGGGAGAGAAAGAGGACCAGTCTGCCTCGGGCCTCCTCAGGCCCAACCCCTTCATTATACAGATAAGGAAACTGAGTTGCAGATAAATTGGAAGTATTTCCTAAGGTCACACATGCAGTTCAAGACTGAGTCAGGACTACATTCATTAACCTTAATGAAGCACAAAAGCTCATCACCCTTATTAGCAAAGAACAAATTAAAGATTTATCATTCGCCTCTAATGAAGAGAGACAGAAATGTCCAACCTTGAAAACATCAGGGAAATAAGATTAGTCTTTCAAATACAGATCCAGTCTCGACATCCATCTAGAATCTGCAACCTCCCCTGCATGATCTTGACAAGGAACACTTCCTTGGAAATTCAGTACTGGTTTGAATCATTGGAAAGCATCAGTGAGTAAGGAGGAAGGGATTCAATGACTTTATTCCTTCCAGTCCTATAGTACATTTCATATTAGCAGAAAAATTTGCAGAGAGTACTGTTCAGAATTTCTACTCTAAAAACTCTCTTGATGTTCATGGAAGCTATTTTAGAAATTTTTTTTTTTTAAAAAAACCTCTCTCAGCCTTATTTACATTTTACACCTTTTTACTCAAATGTAAAGCTACATAAACATAAGTATAAATATTGCAACAATTTTGCACATGAGGTGTCTTGTAATTTACACTCTAGATTTGTGGCTTCTGTCCTCTGTGGTATAAATTATTCCATTCTTAGCATCCTTTAGCTTTTCACTCTGTATAATAATGGCTTTGGGTACCTTCTTTAACATTTCACTTTTGCAAGGGAAACAGCTACTCAGGCTCAGGCCCAAATGATTTATGGGCCGAAGAATAGAAAATAGTTGATAAGGTAGTTTCTGTGTAGTGTAGACATTCCCACCCTCAAAACCATATGCTCCAGAAGGAATAGAAGCCACCTCCACTCTGGTCCTCAGGTCCATCACCACCTACCAACTCATCAGAAGTCACCATTTGTAAAATCCAAATCTGAATGTGATATTCTTCTTTCAGCATAACGAATCACAATCCTTCTGAACTGGCATTTCCTTTCATGTCAACTTAGGCCTAGTTGAAACCTTTAGCCTTCCTGTTGGGAAAGTTAAGTACTTTACATGAACATTTTCCCCTCTTGCTATGGTGATTCATGCTAAGGATAAACCAGTGGCATCTTTCCACCCTTATAAGGGCCAGCAACCAAAGTCGAGAGCTGAGAGCAGTGAATGACTACTACTGCAAGCCACAATCAGGTTGAGCCCAAAGGACCAGCAAGGACACTTGTGCAGAGGAAATGAACTCTTTGAGACAAAGCTGTGCTCAGACTCACTTCCCAAGGGAGGAAACCTCAATCTCTATCGTTCAAGTGAACAAAGAAAGTCTGTTTCCCAGCCCTGACCCCCAGCCCCTGGAGCCCTTCTGGTCCTAGAGAGAGATGAAAGGCCATGTGTAAGATGGTGGAAGATGAAAACAAGGAACGAAGAGCTCAGATTTGCCTTTCTCAGTCACCATGTCCCATTTATTCCATTAGAAATGAGCATGGAGGCAATGTGCCCCTCCCCCACGGCTACTGAGAGATTCACACCCTAGAGATCTTTAATGCACTGAGTCCTCCAGAGAATGGGCCATAAAAAGACTAGATTATTTATTATTATTAATAAGTTATGGCAATTAGGCTGGGTGATTCCTAAACGTTGCTGATTAAAAACTTTCTTGAGTGCTGCTTATCCACATGGCTAGTGTTTACCTCGATTAAAAATGATTTAACTACACTCAGGGTGAACCCCTGCCTTGTGCCTGGGTTAATAATTAGCAGTGCACAGATCCACTCGGGTTAAGTGAGTTGGCTCTCCTTTATTTATCTATTGCTTTGTTTTATGAGGAGAAGTGGATGGCAGTCTTACTGCCTATTCAGTCTGCTAGGAGTAATTTACTATTCCAATCCACAGTCCATAACTATGGTGAGAGAACC